ACATAATTCAGTCTGCTTTCATCTTTATTTTAAATTCTTTTGCTAACCTACTGCATCAAGCAAAGAAAAACCCTGGGCTTTCTTGTATTGCATAAATAGGTGTTAACAAAGATTTCTAGAAGTAAATTCTTTTCTGTTTGTGCCCTCAGTACTGGGCTTCCATATGGTACACACCTAATATTCTATTGTGGCTAGAACTGAAAGTGCACAATTGTTTCTGTCTTATCTTTCATATTTCTCTGCACCAATGTCCTTATCTATTTTGGTCCTTCAGCCCAAACCTCAAAGTGTCATTTAGGTTCACCATACCTTCAGCTTTGGTACATTCTTAATTTATGATTTACAGCTTTCTTTGAGGGAGCCTTCATTTGAGGAATTGCACAACTCAAAAGTAACAGAAACATGATTCTTTCAGAAACATTTCACAAGTCATAAATGTCCTTCTTTAGACAGGTTCTTTCCCCACCCTAGATTCTGAATTCATAAGCTTTGCTGAGTTTTAGACTTCCAAATCATATGTTCTTAAGAAATGTCTCATTCTGGAAGCCCACTAGATGAAAAGATTGCATTTTCTTAAATTCTGTCTTCAAATTTTCATTTGGTTTGCAATATGATACATTTGACAACCCTATATGAAAGAGATCTGAAAGTCTCTTGATCTTCAGTTGTGCACAGCCCCCTGCTTTCAAATTTGACTATTTTGGGGGGGGAAGGAGTACCAGGGTTTTAACTCAGGGGCACTCAACCACTGAGCCACATCCCAGCCCCATTTTGTACTTTATTTAGAGACCGGGTCTCACTGAGTTGCTTAGCACCTCACTTTTGCTGAGGCTGGCTTTGAACTCCTGCCTTAACTTCCAGAGCTATTTGGATTAAAGGCATGCTCCACGACACCCAGCTCTAATTTGACTTTTTAAAGAGTAAAATAGGGAGTGATAGTAACAGACCCTTAGTTTCATTCAATTCATAGAATAAACATAATAATTCTTTCAAGTAGCAAGTTGTTACTGCTTTCTCCCTGCCTCAATTTTTTAGTTAGTGCTGTTAATAAGATTTTTTTTAAAATTTTTATGTGGTGCTGAAGATCAAACCCAGTGCCTCATACATACTAGGCAAGTGCTCTGCCACTGAGCTACAGCCCCAGTCTTTAACAGGAATTTTAACGAACCTCTATTTTTAAAGGAATTTGGCTTCTGAAGATAGTAAATGGGTAATTTGAGAGTGCATATACATCAAATGGACTGATGATGAGGCCATTGAGAGTATCCAGACCTCTCTCTTCCTAGCCTTTTCCAAGACTCACATAGTCACACCCAATTTTGCATTTCATAACTTGTAATAGTTTCTTAAATAGGACTCTCAAAAGCTTAGGCTCCACAAAATGCATACCTAATACCTACGCACCTATGTGTTGAACACCCATTTTCTATCCCCTATGTGGATACTTCCCCAAAACTCTGGTCCTGATGGGACTTGCATTCTTTCCCTTCCATCTTCCTTTCCCATTGTCACCTCAAATGTAATATGTACAAACTGAGCTCAGCATTACCCTTAAACCCCCACCAGATTCCGACTCCCGAACCTGTTCTTTCTTCCCCTCTGTGTCTCGAATCAGTGACTGGCACTGTATACTAGTTTAGTCTTTGAATCTTGGGATTCAAAGTTCCTTCAATGTCCCAGTTCCTTCAATATAAGTGACTTATCTTCGTGCTAACCAACACAGTAGAGTGCAGTGAACTGACTTCTTGTCTGCGTCCTGAAGTATGGAACTATGGATTGTCTCCTATATTTTCTGTTCTTTCTTAGTCCAATGCCTGCCCATAATAAATGATTAACAAAGAGTTGAATAAATAATAACTGAAGTAGTGGACAAAGGAGTGATGTGGTATGGCCAGGATGTCTCACTTATCTTAACCCACAGCTCTTCCTCTTCCACTGCAGAGACTGTGTTAGACCACAGGCTAAATCTTATTCTGTGACACACAGATCAAAATTGGTTTGGTTTATATTGCTGTCCATCATGTGGGATGGACACACATAATGAATAATTGAAATCAGCCTTGACTTTGTCTGTAAGTTTTCAAACAGCAAATATTTTTCAGTCATCTGCTAGGAATTAGTGTGATGCTAGATACTATCGAGGTTATGTATTAAAGATAATGGATAAAGAGCATTCATGGAAACCAAAACTTCATCAACCTAAAGAGGTTTAATTGTAAGAGTGCTAGCTAAGGCAAAATAGGAGAAAATGTGACTAGGAAATATTGAAAGTCTGGGAAAAAGTAATTCTTCCCAGGTTTTGGGTTACTCAGGGTTTTAGGCTGAGGATTTGAATTGACTCTTAAAGCTTAGGGATGTAGCTGTCAGTCTTGAGAGAGAGTACTAACGTGGAAATAGAAGGAGAAATAAGGACATAAAAGAGAGGTAGAAGGAGATTTAGGCAAGAAGATTGTTTCATGGGAGCTAAAAGAGAGTGTTAAAAAAAAAAAAAAAAGGAGGAGTAGACTTTGTGCAGTAGCCTATCCTGTGATCCCAGCTATTTGGGAAACTTAGTTTGATTGCAAGTATGAGGCAAGCTTGGGCAACTTAGTGAGACCTTGTCTCAAAAAAGTAATAAGGGCTGGGAGGGTAGCTTAGAGCTGGAGTGTTCTTGAGTTCAACCCACAGAACATATAAATAAATAGGTAGGTGTGATAGATTTGATGTGGTCAAAAATTCTTTGCCCTTCATTCCATCAAAAGATAAAGTCTGGGTCTGAGCCTAAGGCTCAGTAGTAGAGCATTTGCCTAGCAAATGCAAAGGCCCTCGATTCAGTCCGCAGTACTTTAAAAAAAAAAAAAAAGGAAGGTCTACTTTTATACCCGCCTACCCCCCAATCTGATCTGGCCATGGTACTTCTAATGGCAACAGAAAACAGATGAGATATACGAATTTCAGAATGTAAAAGGGCCTTGGAGTTTCAGCCTCCACCACCTTGCAGTGTTGCATAAGAGAAAGCCACATTCACTTCCTAGAAGATGGGAAGCCATGTGCAGGAGCACTGAAGCTCCCCACTGACCACCAGCACCTACCTCCACCTACCCACTTGATGCAGCCAGATATGATCATGAGCCTTGCAGTGCAACTGACCATCTCACCCACATAGCCCATGAGTGAATCCAAGTGAAACAGGCAGCACCACCCAGCCATGCCAAAGAGTCATGGGAAACAACAGCTGTTGTGTTAGGCAATATAGGGGGATGATTTGTTATGTAGCAATAGGTAACTGAAGTGAAACCAGAACAGGGAAGGAGGAAAAGCAAAGGCAGAGACCAATGGATATGCAAGTCACTGGTGTCCTGATATCTCAGTACTGGAAATGGCCTGAATCTGTCAGGAAGGTTTCCAGTTCCAGGTGGAGGCATTGAGTGACTGAGGTCTGAGGCCAGTAATGATTCAAATCAAATATCTGTAATTAATAATCTTGTTCAGAGCCTATGCTAATTATTTGACTTCAACTTGCATAAAACCAGACAGTGTGCTGGTCAGGCTGAGGATGTATCAGCCTTTCTGTATTTTTCACTGTAAATGAATCATTTTTGTTTTTATTTTACTTTAAAAAAAAAAAAAAAAAACTCATCTGTTTCAAAACTTAGCCCTACCATTTGATAATTACCTTATGGCTTAAATTAAGAAAAGTTTTTCTGCTTACTAAAGTAAAATATTTTTAAAATCTCAACATATATACCCACCATCAATTCACCTATCAGGCTTATTCTTCCTTCAGATAAAAACTAGAGGATCAGTATGCGCACAGTTTCTGTAAGCATATTTCCCTCTAAGTGTATTAAACATTTTAAAATGAAAATCACAACTCATAAAAAAAATCACAAATCAACAATGTGATTTTTCCCGTTTTATTAATACCCAATAATAAATATCCCTACATTTCTTTGTATAGTGATTTGATCCTAAGGAAAGGAACAAGTTGGCCTTCATTCCTACTCCTATGTGTCACCTCTTCCCCCAGGCCATCCATTTTGGCAGTTAAGAGCTTTGAGTTGTGTTACTAAAAGAAAGTTTTCCATGGCCCACCACTGAATTAAATTATTTAAATTCATTTATCCCGTTTTTTAAATGCTTATTCATGTAAGAAACTCTTGTTCTGTCTCAAAATTGCCTAGAATGTACCATATTTTGAACAATTATGGATGTTTAGGCCCAAAAGTTTTATTAAGGCTGATAATTACAGCCTTAATAAGTGCTTAGGGATCAAAGATCTGTTAAGTCTGATAACAGATGAAGGGATGAAGCCATGATCCTGGCCCAGGGTGGACATGTTATCCCAACATCTACCTCAGGTCTCAAAGAATGCCTTTTTTTTTTTTTTGCCAGAAGCTACACAGATGGTTGAGGTTCTCTGCTCCTTACTGAACAGAGCTTTAAAAGCAAAGCCCCAAGCAACTTAGGAAGACACTGTCTCAAAATAAAAAATAAAAAAGACTGGGGATGTGGCTCAGTGGTTAAGCACCCCTGGATTCAATCCCTGGTTACCCTCCCCCCAAAAAAGAGCTTCACTTGCTGGAAAACAATGCTTTTTTCACTTCCTTGACTGAATCACCCACATTGATGATAGGGCAGGGAAACAAGATTATGCACTGAGACAGTCTTACACCAAAGGAATATCTGGAAAGAACTTCAGATATTACTATTTAGCTGTATATAAAAGTTGGGGATTTGGGGATTTGTTGTTGTTGTTGTCTGTTTTGGTACTGGGGATTGAACCCAGGGTTGCTTTACCACTGAGTCACATCCCCAGTCCTTTATTTTGAGACAGTGTCTCCCTAAGTTGCTTAGGGCCTCACTAAATTATTGTGGCTGGCCCCAAACTTACAATCCTCCTGTCTCAGCAACCCAAGATGGGATTTTACAGGCATGAGACACTATACCTGGCAAAAGCTGCATGTTTGACTAAAGGCTATTTATTTATTGTTTAAAGATCAATGCATACAAATACTTACGCTTTTGCTAGTTCCATTGATATTTGTTCCAAAGAGCATCCCTTTGTTTCAGGTATAAAAACAATAACAAAAACCAGAGATGCTAAACTCATGATTGTATATATAAAGCACACCCATGGCAGGCCAATAAGATCTATAAGGAACAAAAGAAATTGATTAGAAATGTGTTTTGTGTTGCTTGGATCCCATTTTATAAATGCTTTTTAAAGCATATATAAAGCCATATGTATTTTCACAAATGCTAGTAGTATCCAGCGAAATAGGATTCATGAATTTAAAATGTAGTCAGCTCTGGAAACCTGTTCTTACTAATGACGTCAGCTTTCTCTGGTAAATAACAATCTTGTGACTAACCCAATTTAAATTCAATTGCCATCTTCTTGCTGGGCATGATCATAGTGAAAACAGAGCCTAAAGCCATACAGAAAAATATAATGCAGAAGATAAAATTTCTCTTCTCACCCTCCATAGTTTTCCCTCTTGGGAATTGACACTGTAGCAGTTTGGTTTCTATTTGGTGGACATTTGTAGTGCACATTTATACAGATGGACTTTTCTTAGATTGAGTGCATTCTATTTTACTGTGATATGAGTAACTTACTTCATGCAATATTTGATCACTTTTTAATAGTCAGTTGTATACTTTGTAATACTTCTTTCTAGGTCCAGAGGGAAAAACATGTGATATTGGGTCCAAGAAAGACACCAATGAGCTAAGATGCATCAAGAAGCAAGATCCTCAAGATTTTGATGGGTTTCACTTTGCCAGTCTAGTTTTTCCCTTGACCACTTCTAGCCAGTGGTACAATCCCTTTGTAGTCACTGGCCAATATCAAGGAACATTAAGTGATGAGGTGTGCCACCCCTCCCCATTTACACTGTGCTAGCCACTTGCATTGTGCTGGCTCCTGGCTCAGCAGCATGAAGTTCCATGTCACAAGGAGTAGTGAGAAAGTAGTTGGCTCTTTCTGCGCATACATAGGCTCAGGCCAACTGTAGATAAGATTTGCAAATAGCTCTTAACAGCTGCAGCCACAAATCACAGTTGGTCAGGCAGGAAAATGAAGAGGTTGTATACTGAGGCTGTTTTGGTAAGTGCAGTGTGGAAAGATCTAAGCATAGTAACCACATGTGAGTGAGTTTTGCTGAGGTGGGATGAGCAGGAAGAGCAGTCCCTTTGGCCATTGCTAGTACAGGGCTTGGCCTGACTTATTGCTTAATAAACTGCTTATAGAATTGGTCCTCCCTCTTTCTCTGAATTGAAAAACTTAAATATGGAATTGAAAACCCCAAAAGGCTGTCTCATTGAATTTGACCCCAGTTCTGTTAGAGCACTTTCAGTAGCAAGGAGCTCACCTTTTCCCAAGCCTCACCCTGCACAGTGAGCCAGCTTTCTCTGCTCAAAAGTTCTTTGTCACCTGAATCTACCCTTTAGTCATTCTGCTTTATAAGATAGAATGATTTGACCATTTTACATTAAAACCAAAATCATGTTTAATTAGTAAGACCCTCAAAAGTAAATTCCAAAGGTGATATACTAAATGTATATTCATGAACGTATATGTGTATATATATTTATGTATATATGTATATGTGTATGTATGTGTTTGCACTTTGCATATGTATAAATATGTGTGCACAACCCAGTTTTAATGACAGCCATGCAAATATTTGAATGCACTCTGTCCCTTTCCTGAGACCCTCTTGTCCAAGTTGAACATCCTGAACTCCCCTCCATTCTTCTCAGAACATAGGTGACCTGCCCTGGTTATCCAGGTCACCCTCCTTGGGTGGACACACTGCAATTTTTAAGTAACCTTTTCAGAATGCTTTACTCAGAGCTGAACACAATACTGCAGTTGGGTCAGGCCCACTGTACAATATGTTTTCCTATCTGGAACAGTCTGCTTTTATTGATTCAGATGAAATTTCATCAAAATGTTGGTATCTGAGGGCTTGTTGCCAGCTAGAGCCTCACATCTTTAAGGTCTTTCTAACCCATACTTGGAAAATTGACTTTCAAAAATAAGTAGAAATCTTCAAGCATCCCCATTAATATCATCTAAAAGTTTTAGATCATTCCAGGCTTTTAAAAATTTGGATTGTTTTTCCTAACATTTGTTCTAAAAAGCCCATTTGGAGAACTTCAAATCTTCATTAGCTCATCCAGTATATTAGCTAGCCTTCCCAAGGGTTTGTGCCATTTTTTTATGCCTTGACATTCCAATTCTCTCTCTTTTTTAAAATATTTCTTTCTTCACACCAAACAGCAAATGAAGTGTGTGTGCACACGTGTGTGTATGTGTGTGTGTGTGTGTGTGTGTGTGTGTGTGAAGGTGAAGGGCACATATTTATGTGGGTTATCTGAGCAGGAGAGGTATGGCCAATGCTAATAACCAGCAGTGTAGTTTCCTTCAATCTTAGGCTATTTCTAAAAATGTAGGACATAAAGATTGGACAGTTTTATATGAAAACCAAAAGCATGCTTACCTAGCAATTTCAAAAGCTAATTCCAAAAGTAATATACTAAATATATACACATATGTATATGTGTGTATGCATATATTTATGTATACGTATGTTCATATATAAACATGTGCGTGCACTTTAAGTAAATATCCACTTTTGAAAATAAACTATACAAACATACACATAAATATGAATGCAAACTACACATACAAATTGAAGAAACTGGGTAATTTGTTTAATAAAATTTTCTAATTTGGATTTTTTTTTATTTATTGTAGCCAGAATGACCCCTAAATATATGTGAAATAAGAAAAACCCATTGATCTCTTTCTGCCCTAGTCCTGCCTGGACTTGTTGTTGGAGACCAGAGATGATACATGCCTCACTGGTCCATTTTAGAGGATGCTGGGGCACCACCTCATTATTTTGGGAACTAAAAATAAAGTTCCAAGCACTTATCTTGCCTGTCTTCTATAATCCACACTTCAGGTTAGCTAACTCACTAAGAAGAAATTTCTCTCTAGGAGAAGTATTCCATATAAAAACATAGAAGGAATGGTAGAATAAAGATAGTGGGTTTAGAAAATAGTGGCTCACAGCAGTTTAACATGGCAAAGTAGGAGACCATTCCTGACATTCCTCCTGAAGGTAGGACAAATCCTGTCACCTACCAGGGAGTTTGCAAACAAACCAGAATACTTAGACTTCCTCAAATCCCCATCTAGATCTAAATATTAATGTACAGGAAACACAATGAATAGAGGGACATGTGATAGAAGAACCATCTACAAATTCCAGACTCCCTAAAATTCTATGAAACAAATGATCCAATTTATATTTATAAAAATATAAGGTGGGGTGAAAGGTGAGGGGAATGGAGACGAAACTGACAAAGTTGTGTTTCATACATTTCATTGTAGATTATATATTGGAATGTGATTCAGCCAAAGTATAAAAAGTAATTATAAGACAATTACTAAAATGTGAACACAGACAGGATGTTTGATACTTAAGGATGATTATTAAAATTTTCCATTACACTGTAGTCCTATTTTTTTAAATATCTTTTTTTTTAGAGGTCCCTGCTGAAATTTTACAGGCAAAAATGACATTATGTGTGAGATACAACTAAATTTGGTAGGAGGAAGATCAGGCGGGGTCATAAATGAATGAAGACTGAGAACAGCTTTAAGATAGGTAATAGGTACAAAAGGTTCATTGTCATTCTTTACCTCTGAGTGTGTTTGAAATTTTCCACAATAATTTTTTTTTACAAGGATGTCATCCCTAATGTTTGTCTTAAGAGAATACAAATCATCAGAGGAAAACAAAGAGTTCTTACCAGTTACAGTCAAAAACGTCAGAGAGATGAGGAGATTGATGCCCCAGTTCATGCTAGAGGTTAAAGCCATGGCTCGTCCTCTGATCCCACCAGGGAAGATCTCGCTGAGCACCAGCCAGGGCACTGGAGAAAGAAAAAGTGACAGGACAGCAGAATTAGGGAAAACCCATCGTGATGGAGGGCTGGCTCATTGATCTCTCTGTGCCAGGGCCAATACCTGTGACAGCAGGACAGGACAGCCCAGAAAAGGGACATGCCTTCTCTTCACCTTCAGTCAAGGGAGACAGCAGACAATGGGCCTCCAGAACATGAAATACTGGTCTAGGACAGAGGCTTTCAAAACACAAAGGAAGGGGCAGTGCCTGGGGCAACCAAGGGCTGACTGAACAGCCACCCAGCTCAAGAGCCTCAAGGCTAGATACCAGCTGCAATTGCTACCGTATGGTGTCCTTTCCTATGCCCTCCTTTCCCCTGGACCTGGGAGAAGTCTAGAGTCATAGCTAAGGAGTGGGTAGGAAATGGAGCTAGAAGGGCAAGGGATACCTGCCACTCTGACTTCTTCCACTTGAACCTCCTGGCCCTGGGTGAGCTGGGTGGAGGGAAGCCCTAAATTCAATAGAACTTCCAGATTTGTTAATTATACCAGACTAGACATTTGAATTTCTGGAAGAAAAAGACTCTTCTTGGCACCAAAATGATCAGAGCACTTTTTTTTTTTTTTTTTTAATTTTCTGTGAGTGACAGAGAGCATTATGGGATCCGCTTAATGGGATTAGAAAGAACAGAAGAGAGAAAATTAACTCATCTTCCTCTTGTATCCCAGCCACCGGGTGTGCCTAGTAAAGTCTGAGCAAGTTCTTACGGGGAGCTGACTTTACAAACATCCAATAACATTGCCATTTGATCCTCACTAACCCTGAATAATTAGTAAGTATTTATTATTCCTCTTTCATAGAAGAAGAAACTGAGACTTTGAGGGGTTAATGACTTGCCAAGATCACGGAGCTCCTACGTGACAGAGGTAGCATTGAACCCTGACAGTCAGTCTCTGGAACTCATGTGTTTTAATCACTGTGCTGTCTTCATAGTGGCACAGTAAATATTTGTTTATTAATAAATAACTGTGAATGCAAGCACATTTGATTCTGTGGAAGAAGGACTTTGGAGCTGCCCACCCTTGGCCCCCTGCTGGCTAAGGCGCCATGTGTCAGAAAGCCAGTGTTTGTACAAGGACCAGCTGCATAATAATGCCAGCCCAGAAGAAGAAGCTAGAAGCCAGGGAGGGGTCCCATTGACCAGCACCTCTAGCACTTCCAGCACCAGAACCGAGCAGTCAGCTGTGTGTCTCACTGAACAATTAGCTGCTCACATCAAGATCACATTCTCCTCGTCATAAATGTGCTGTAAGAAAAAATAAACTGAATCAAAAATTTCTTTTTTCTTGATTATCTTCTCCAAGTGAATCTATATAGGGTCACCTTGAAGATGGAAGGTGACTATAACAAAAACAACATAGTTATTGTTTTAATTGATGGGAAGTTTTTTAAAAAATCCTTATCTCCCACCCTTTTACCTCACCTTTCCCACCCCCCACTCCTTTTCACCCCCAAAGACCTTTTTTTTTTTTTAAGAGAGAGTGAGAGAGAGAGAGAGAGAGAGAGAATTTTTTAATATTTATTTTTTAGTTCTCGGGGGACACAACATCTTTGTTGGTATGTGGTGCTGAGGATCGAACCCGGGCCACACGAATGCCAGGCAAGCGCGCTACCGCTTGAGCCACATCCCCAGCCCCATCCCCCAAAGACCTTTACTAATTTGTATCTTTGGTAGAATCTCTTTTCTCTTAGTGAGCTTAGTGCCTAGGTAATCCTATCTGGAGCTTTGCAAAATTGAAGCTCTAACTCTGGGTAGATTGTGTAATTCAAAGCAAGCTTTCCAAAGGGGACCTAGCCTTGGGCAAATAAAGCAAATAATCTATGCCACAGACATATACCCTACCCATGTCCCTTTCTGACATGGGCATTTGACACAGATTAGTTGGAGATGAGGGTCCCTTAAGACCTTATGCTGTAACAGGAGGGAGAAGAGGGGGGAAACCTTTCCTTTTCTTCTACTAAAGGAGTTAGCTCAGATTTTCTTGATCCAAATTCTAGCTCTCCCTGAACACCTGTCTAACCTACTTCTTTCTGACTTCACCTTTCATCACTATGGACTTTTGAATTATCTGGTGGCATTCGGTAGATAAATTGCTGAGCTCATCAAAACCACATTGGCCTCAGATGAAAATGAACTGATCTTGCTGTTATAGAAAGTGATGGATTCCACCAACATGAAGACAGGTGCTTGTGCAGAGCACAATTTGTATGTTCTCAGTCTGAATTGCCAGGGTCTCCGTGCGTTGAAAAACTTGATATCATACTGGAAGTCTGTCCTAGGCATACCTTCAATTCAGCAGCTAAGCCAAGTCCTTGGGCAATATAAAAGTCTGAATAATGAATCAAAGGTTGAAAAATAGACTTCCTTCAGTCTAGTGGGAACTTGTCTGACAAACCCTGCACCTGACATTTCCCAAAATAAATGTATCATTGCTAAAATCTTCAGCTTCCTTTTTCCATGGAATGGGAAGAATTCAACAATGGATGCCTTGGTTGATTACGATCCACAAACTGGAGGTTGCAACAATTGACAAGGGAATGCTTCAGCCATCCCCAAATGGAGAATATTGTTTTAATAATGATTTCAGAGCTATAAAATTCCAAGTTTTCAGATATGGAAGAGTGAAATAAAAACCTGAAAGTGGCATTTGTGATAAGAAAGTCTTTCCATTTCAGTCTTGGGAGCAAGACAGTGCGAGAATATTATAGTCTTCATGGTTCTCCAAAAAGATGTTGTGAATGGCCAAACTGAAGAAATGAAGAAACTCTGCTTCTTTTCATAAGTAAAGAACATAGAGGTATAAACCACCACATTGGGATTTAATATGGCGATTTTTATAATAATGAGTGGAAGCTTTTTAAAAGTCACTATATTTTCTTTTCCCAAGAAGGTGACCCAGTTTCTCCCCAAGTAAAATCCAATTATTACTAAAAGGGGGGGGGGCTCCTTTTCATTGCCACAGGGAGGAGATGTGGCTTCCCTGAGCATCCTCTTTATTCCCTACGCCGATGATAAACCAACAGAGGATGCATTGTCCTATTGGCTCGGAGGGGGATCTGCAGAGTACTTGTGACAGTGACAGAGATTTAGTGAACTCCTACGCAGTGAGCTCAGCAGCTTCGGCTCATAAACAGTTCTCCTGGACCCCTGTTATTTCTCCTTCAACCTCATCATTCTGGGGCCACCTCAGCAATTTGCACTCCCCATAAATGTCATAGTCTACATGTCCTTAAGGTCTGCTGTATGCTACAGTGATTGAGGAAAATTTGGACTAGCATGGGCCACTGGGGAGGGGTAATTGTTCACAGATATGGAACTCATATTTCACATGATATTAAGTCATGAGGACCACCCATAAGAACTTTCCCAGTCTAGATGAAATAAACAGAACATTTATGGCTACCCAGAGTGTCATAAAAAGATCACAAAACAAACAATATGTTGAAGTCTCTCTGTTTTCAGTTGGGGACACAGTCTTGGGTTAACAGGGGCACTCCATAGAGATAACAGCCCTACCATATGTAAGTTACCCTGTGTATTTTCATACATCTCCTTATTTCTGGTCACTGCCCTAATTTTTCCTATAGACATTGTCATTTAACCCCCTGCACTTTCAGATTTAAACCCTGCAGTTCTCCAGGCACATTTCCACTTGGCTGGGGTTCTTCCTGAACCACCTGGCATGCTCACCCAGAGTTTGAAAGACTCGTCGAGGTCTTGAAACTCTTGCCAGAGAACTCCTAGCAACTTTGGAGTCAGTTCTACACTCAAGCTGCAGAGTGTTTAGCAATTTGATTTGCTAGGGAAGCTATGTCCTGTGCTTTGTAGAAATGAAGCCAAATCCTATGGTTTTTATTGTATTTGCAAGTAGCATGCAACACACCCAGCTCTCTCTCTGAAAAAGGGTACTTAAAATGTGATTTTGAGTAGGAGCATGCCATCCCTTCCAACCAGATGTTTAAATTCTGGCCTCATAAGTTTCCTAAGTGGAAAAAAATGGTCTTTATAAATAGACTCCATGATAGGCCACCAACTCCAACATCAGCAATCATGTATCAAATTCCTTTTTTTCTTTTTTATAGTCTCAGTATTCTTTCTTTCTTTTTTTTTTTTTTTTTTTTTTTGTGTGTGTGTGTGTGTGGAGGGGGGTGTTGCAGGGATTGAACTCAGGGACACTAGTTCACTGAGCCACATTCCCAGCCCTGTTTTGTATTTTATTTAGAGAAAGTCTCACTGAATTGCTTAGTGCCTTGCTTTTTCTGAGGCTGGCTTTAAACTTGAGATTCTCCTGCCTCAGTCTCCTGAGTCTCTGGGATTACAGGCATGTGCCACCATGCCCAACTAGAAACAGTATTCTTGTGCTCCCTGAGTTGTGCCACTTGTGGACTTTAGTAAAAGAAATACTTTATTCAAAAATATTATCTGGGATTATTTAAGTCACAAGCTAAGAAAAGTCATAAAGTGTTCCTCAATCTTTTGCCCTAATGATTTCAAATCAAAATAACTGAAAAGATTTTCAAATAATACTTTAGGGAAAATTAGACTAAGTGAAGTAACCCTCAATTTATAAAAAAATGCCAATGTTAAAAATGAAACCCATTTATGATCAGGTATCAGATGAGAATAGGAAAGAACTTTGTCAGTGGGCTTTCAATTTTCTTGCTTGTCTTGCCTTTAAAGCAATTTAGAAGCTAAGTTTTTTTCCACATATAAGCTAATATCTAACATTTCTTTAGCATGAATTTAAATAGTGACAAAGGATGCAAATTCTTGTGTATTTACATTCTAGCATTTAAAGAAAAATAGTTATATCACTTTTTTATATGTTTCTGGCAGAATTTAAATATGATAAGTGTTGATACCCATTACCATCATCCATCCAAAAAATACAGGAACAAAGAATTAGCTTAAATTTTACAGAGTTTCTTTTTCACTTGAACTTAATATTTTATCCTAGTAATGAATTT